CAGATATTGAACATAAACATCACTTTTGTTACACTAAATTAGAGCAAAATTTACTAAGATTAAATGTATCTAAATGAGCTTCTTTCTACATAATATACTTTATTTTGGTGGCGCTCAGAAACAGTGTTTAATAATTATTTTTTTTTCATTCAATATAATTTAAACAAGAAAACTGGGCCTAAAGGCTCAGGAAAATTACAAGAAATGTTGCATTGAATTGTTGCAGAAAGCTACCAGTGATATATTTAACAACGTGATAAACAATAATGAAAATATTATTGAATTTAATGATACACGACAACTGATGTAAGTTCACATATTATGGAACATGGAAAGTGCTCATAAATTTGCATATAATAATATTCATGGAAGACTCCAGGCTCAAGCTGCGCCCTGTTGGTGTATACGAAATTTCTGTTATTCCAAAGGTTCTCTCTGATTTAAGAAATCGTAATGACACGATTGCAAATAAACCATACCCCCGGCCGGGATTGAACCCGCGGTCATAGAGTCTCAAAACTCCAGCCCGTCGCGTTAGCCACTAGACCAGCTAGCCACAATAAGATTCATCCAACTAGGTATATTTCTGAATCTTATTGTGGCTAGCTGGTCTAGTGGCTAGCGCGACGGGCTGGAGTTTTGAGACTCTATGACCGCGGGTTCAATCCCGGCCGGGGGTATGGTTCTCTCTGATGCTGCTGCAGTGGCTATGCAATCCATTATTTATCTTGTTCATTTCTTCAGAGGAAGCATTTATAGAGAAGAATTCATCCAATAGACTAAATCCAGCACAATCCCATTGAATATACTTTATAAAACTTCTTCTAGTTCAGAAGTGGGTGATTTCTTTTTGCTTCCAACTGAAGAGGAAATGCGCAAGAAAAAAGTTTGTGCATCTTAAGAACATAAGAAAGAAGGAACACTGCAACAGGCCTACTGACCCAAGCAGAGCAGGTCCATGTTTCCCCCCCCTGATTAAACCAATGACTCACCCCCCGGATAATCCCAATGATCCACCCAGCCTGGTCATCACCACTCAAGGATGGAGCAATGCACCAGACCCAGGAGTACAAGCTAGTCAGGTCAACTCACACCCACTCATGTATTTATCTAACCTATTTTTAAAACTACACAACGTTTTAGCCTGAATAACTGTACTCGGGAGTTTGTCCCACTCATCCACAACTCTATTACCAAACTAGTGCTTTCCTATATCCTTCCTGAATCTGAATTTTTCCAACTTGCAACCATTGCTGCGGGTCCTGTCTTGGCTGGAAATTTTCAGCACGCTATTTACATCCCTTTTATTTATTCCTGTTTTCCATTTATACACCTCGATCATATCCCCCTAATTCTACGCCTTTCAAGAGAGTGCAGATTCAGGGCCTCAGTCTATACTCATCGGGAAGATTTCTGATACATGGGATCATCTTTGTCATCCTTCTTTGTACGTTTTCCAGAGCATTTATATCCATTCTGTTATACGGTGAATAGAATTGAGCAGCATAGTCTAAATGAGGCCTAACCAAGGATATATAGAGTTGAGGAACAACCTGAGGACTTCTATTATTTATACTTCTAGATATGAAGCCAAGAATTCTGTTAGCTTTATTGCGAACACTAATGCACTGTTGTCTTGGTTTTAAATTACTGCTAACCAGAACTCCTAAATCATTTTCGCAATCAGTAGTATTAACCCATACCCCTGCCGGGATTGAACCCGCGGTCAGAGAGTCTCAAAACTCCAGCCAGCCCGTTTTGAGACTCTCTGACCGCGGGTTCAATCCCGGCTGGGGCATGGTTTGTTTGCAATCGTGTCGTTACGATTTCGTGAGTCAGTAGTATTAAGATCTATATTACTTAGTTTATATGTGGCATGGTTATTTAACTGTCCAACATTTAGAACTTTGCATTTGTCAATATTAAACTGCATCTGTCACTTCTCCGACCATTGCTTCAGTCTATTCAAATCATCTGGAGTGTTTTAATGTCCTCATTAGAATGAATTGGACGGCCTATTTTGGTATAATCAGAAAATTTGCTTATGTCGCTATTTATTCCCTCATCTATGTCGTTTATGTAAATTGTGAACAGCAACAGGCCCAACACTGACCCCTGAGGAACACTGCTTGTGACGTTCCCCCATTCTGATTTCTCCCCATTTATGCAAACTCTCTGCTGTCTATTTGTCAGCCATGCCTCTACCCAGGAAAAAATTTCTCCTCCAATTCTGTGCCCTAAGTTTCCTCAATAGCCTCTGATGTGGAACTCTATCAAAAGCCTTACTGAAGTCCATATACACAGTATCATATTCATTACCACGATCTACCTCCTCAAACACCTTAGTGAAAAAGTTAGTAAATTCGTAAGACAAGAACGCCCCTTTGTAAAACTGTGTTGAGATTCATTAATCAATCTGTGCCTGTCAAGATGGCTACGAATTGCTTCTGCAATTATTGATTCCATAAATTTCTCAACTATGGACGTAAGGCTTATTGGTCTATAGTTCGAAGCCAAGGACCTGTTACCTGCCTTGTAAATAGGTATTACATTTGCCATTTTCTACTTATCAGGCACTATGCCAGTCTGTAGTGACATGCTAAAAAGATTAGCCAAAGGTATGCTAAGTTCCTCTTTACATTCCTTTAACACTCTTGCAAACAGTTCATCAGGACCTGGGGATTTGTTAGGTTTTAGTTTCTCTATTTGTCTGAGGACCATGTCACTAGTTACCGCAATCGTACATAGTTTATTATCATCCTGTTCTACATAATCTATTATTTCAGGAATATCGCTAGTATTTTCCTGGATGAAAACTGAGAGGAAGTAGGTATTTAGAATTTCACACATATTCTTATCACTGTCAGTGATCTGACCAGAGTTACTCTTAAGTTGGCCAATCTTGTCACTAATCTTACTTCTGTATACCAGAAAGAACTCTTTTGGGTTAGTCTTTGAATCCCTTGCGACCTTAGCTTCATAATCCCTTCTTGCTTTTCTTATTCCTTTTTTATTTCTCTCTTTAATTGAATATATTGATTTCTTAACTGCCCATCCCCTCTTTTGATACGCCTATAAATGCCTCTCTTTTGACCAAAGAGATGTTTTAATCTATTGTTCATCCATTAAGGATCATTTTTGTTAGATCTAATTTCCCTACTCGGAACAAAAGTTGTCTGAAAAACGTAATATTGGCAACCAAGATCACCTACCTGACCCATTGTCAGGACATCCCAATTTAGCCCACCCAAGTAATTTTTCAAACCCATGAAGTCGTCCAAGCGAAAATCTGGGACAGAGATTTGATTGCAGTTATCTGGGTAATTCCATGATATATTGAAACTAAGTGATTTGTGATCACTTTCCCAAAGCTCACCATTAACCTCAAGATTATTAATTAGTGAATCTTTGTTGGCAAGAACCTAGTCAAGCAGATTGTTTCCTCTAGTTGGTTCTGTCACAACCTGTTCTAAAAAGCAATCCTGTACCGTATCAAGAAAGTCATTAGACTCAAGATTTCCTGTCATATTGTTCCAATCAATTTGTCTAAAGTTAAAATCTCCCATTATCACAACATTTTCATATCTAGATGCCTTATGAATTTCGTCCCATAACAGCTTACTGCCCTCCCTATCAAGGTTTGGGGGCCTATTAATCACACCCACAATTAATTTGTCACGACCATAGAGAAACTGTAGCCAAACAGATTCTGTGTTCAAGGTTTCTAATCTTATATCATGTCTAAGACAACAATTTAAATTTTCTCTGACGTACATCGCCACACCACCACCCATTTGGCTAAGACTCAGATGATTCTTGCTTTTGGACCATTTCACACTATGTTTCTTTGTTCTCAGATTCGCTTGCAGAAAAATCGTGATATCTTGAAGCACTTTTTTTTTTATCTTCTTACGGAAGACAAATCGGCTTGAAACAAACTGCTGTCGTTCTTCAAAAAAGGAACAAGTCATCGTTACGCTGTTACATGCACGTCTTTGGCCAAAGTTTTACAGTAAGAGATTAGAATCTAGTAGTTGCTGCGTGGATTGCTGTATTCCAATGATTACGGGTTCATTTGTTGAGATGGAAACCATTTTCTCTGATTTAGAAAAAACACCTAAGGCCATATTTATTGGGAAACATTTCGATCCTGAGACCTTGATCACTTCTAATATACAGAGGTTATAAGACAGTATATATAGACGGTGAGTGAGGTGTGAGTGACGTAAAGTGACCTGAAGAATGTCATATTGGGATGACGATGGGTAGACGATGAGATAATATGACTCCTGTGTTGCTGGGTAGGTGCTGCTTTGCCTGGTTGAATATCATCTATGCTAATGTTTTAGAAATTTTGTGGTTTCCAGTGTTACGTTTTATTGTGTCGGTGACGGCGACTAGCGAGGCTTCCAGACATCTTCGGCGTCTAAGGTCTTGTTCGGTGAGAACGAGTTGTGCTTCATCATGGTGACCTGGCATTCTTCAAGTCACCAAGCGTTGCTCACACATCACTCTTATAACCTCTGTATATTACAAGTGATCAAGGCTCCAGGATTGAATCGTTTTGTAATAAATATGCCCTAGTGTTTGCTTACGTGTTTTTTTAAGCAACTCGTCTGTATTTATCACCAAGGTTTTTACCATATCAAAGATATGTATACATGCGCAAATGCATACCTACTGTACATATGTATATGAATACATAAGTTAATATTTGCCGCATTAGAAATTTTTCCCCACCCTGCACTATTCCTTTTGCCTGCTTTGGGGCAGAGGAGGCTGAGATTATGGAATATGGGGACACTTTTCTAAAATCCTGCAACATCTGAACGACATATAGTTCTGTCTTAAATTTCGATCAATGTTTGATTACAATAGATCGATATAAAATTACACTTTCGGTAATATGCTGTTGATGTTAAGAGAAACTCAAGATAACAGTAAACTGTGTACCTATAAATAAACCTGTGGTTGAGATAATTGAAAGGTGTATGATAACATATTAGTGCCAGGTCTCAGCCAAGCACTGACACTCTCCCAGCCAGGCCAGGACACTGCCAGCCAGGCACTGACACTCTCCCAGCAAGGCCAAGACACTGCCAGCCAGGCACTGACACTCTCCCAGCCAGGCCAGGACACTGCCAGCCAGGCACTGACACTCTCCCAGCAAGGCCAGGACACTGCCAGCCAGTCACTGACACTCTCCCAGCCAGGCCAAGACACTGCCAGCCAGGCACTAACACACTCCCGTGATCACCACACGTACACACCTCTCCTCTCTCTACTGCTGGTATTATCATCATCTGACATTATTACAGTCAAGTAAGAGTGAGGATGGCACCCAAGGTACGCACTGTGAGCCTTCATACTGGACAAGAGATGCCAATCATTGGCATTGGTACATACAGGGTGAGTATATTACATTGTAACAGTGAACTTAACATAACCAGCCACTAGCTGCCACTGCTCACAAATTACCACAAAATGTCACAAAATAACTACAGTAAACCATAAACATACAAGTAAACTACATCATACTACCTCTTATTAACAACTGAACCAGTTATATAAAGAATGTAGTTTGATATATGCAAAAACATCTCGTAATTAATGGTTCAATGATGAGGTAACTACACCCATAGGGTATGCAGTGACGTCACACAGCGCCTGAGCAAACCCACAACGAGGCAGACATTACTCAGTAATAATAATATAATAATAATAATAATAATAATAATAATAATAATAATAATAATAATAATATCTTATTTAATACAAGTACATGTACAAGGTATACAGACAATTGCTGATATCAATGGGCTCTGGTGGCCTGGTGGTTAATGCTCTCGCTTCACACGGCGAGGGCCTGGGTTCGATTCCCAGCCAGAGTAGAAACATTGGACGTGTTTCTTTCCACCTGTTGTCTATGTTCCCCATCAGTAAAATGGGTACCTGGGTGTTAGTCGACTGGTGTGGGTCGCATCCTGGGACACTGACCTAATTTGCCCGAAATGCGGAGCATAACAAGGGACTTTCTGTATAGTTATATGTCATTGTTGTCAGCTAGGACTGTATACCTTGTACATGTACTTTATTAAAATAAAGATATTATTATTATTACTACTATATAGAAAGCCGCTTGTTATGCTGAGCATTTAGGATAAATTAGGTCAGTTTTGTCCCAGGATGCGACCCACACCAGCACCCAGGTACCCATTTTAAATTGATGGGTGAACAGGGACAGCAGGTGTCTTATGGAAACACGTCATTAATATTTTGCAGCCGTACCGGAGATTCTAACCCCGGACCTCAGTGTGTGAGCTGAGTGCGCTGATTGAGCTTTAAGTATATATATTTTTACAACAATAATTAAGACACACGGATGTAATGGCCACATAAAAAGTACATTATATAGATTTAACATTTAATAACTCGATAAAATACAAAAGAATGTTGCATATTTCCATTAGGGTCCCTAGTCAAAATTTTATTTCACCAAAAATTTGAATTATACATTCTAAGCCCCTTATGGAGGGTGCCTTGATCCAATGAAATGGACCTATCTTTTCTTTCCTTGGACTGAATCAGATGTCCTCCAATTACGCAGGAAGATTTATGTCCCCTGTGAGTTTAGCGCTCCCAATACAATACAATACAATACAATACAATGCTTTATTTGGACATGATACATAGTTGTACAAGGAATTATAGTAGTTGAGTGTACATACCAAAAGCACCTTGTATGCAGAACATTATGGACAGGCTTAAAATTAACTTAAGATTAACTAAGCAATGATATGTTCAGAGGCAAAAATTACAGTAAACAAATTACAATATGAAATACAAATGAGTATTTTAAACAATGAAATTTGAACATTTCAATTAAGAGGCATTATAGTTGTACAAATTTGTAGCATAACAATGTATAATATAACAAAATAATCAATATACATTATTAATATACTATTTGTAGTGCAGAAACAGGTCATATGATCATTAGATGAGTTATTGTGCATTCAAGAGAATGGATTATTTTATTAGGTAATGTAATTTAAAAACATAGTTTGATAGGGTCACTGGTTACACTTTCATGAAATACAGTTATTCAATATTTATTTAGTTGTGAGTGAGGAAGTGGTTTTTAAGAAGAGACTTGAATTTATAAACAGACAGTGTTTCTTTTATATTCACAGGTAATGAATTCCAGATTTTTGGGCCTTTTATGTGCATTGAGTTTTTACATAGTGTGTGTGTGGAAAATACTGTATATTTTCCGAAAACGCAGTGCATTTTGTATGTAAATTGATGGAATATATTGTAGGTAATAAAAATTAATTTGTAAATAAATAAAGAACCAGCGAAATTGGTGAGCGTCGATGGGGGAAGGGGGTCGCCACTGTTTTTTGAACTGGGCAAGATAACGTCAGTGAAAATCGGAAGAATTTTCTTCGCTCTAGATGTTATATTGTGTTTAAAACCTCTCAAATAAGAGTCAAAATTGTTGGATTTGCAGTCCTGCAGAACATGAGAATTAGGCGACTGGACAGGACTCCATAATTAGATGGGAACAGGATAAATTAACCAAGGTGATGTTTACCTGGAGTTTCCCTGGAGAGAGATATGGGGGGTCAACGCCCCCCCCCTCGGCCCGGTCTGTGACCAGGTCTCCTGGTGGATCAGAGCCTGATCAACCAGGCTGTTACTGCTGGCTGCACACAATCCAACATATGAGCCACAGCCTGGCTGGTCAGGTACCGACTTTAGGTGTTTGTCCAGTGCCTGCTTGAAGACTGCCAGGGGCCTATTGGTAATCCCCCTTATGTATGGTGGGAGGCAGTTGAACAGTCTCAGGCCCCTGACACTTATTGTATGGTCTCTTAACGTGCTAGTGACACCCCTGCTTTTCATTTGGGGGGGGGGGTTGTTGCATCGTCTGCCAAGTCTTTTGCTTTCGTTGTGAGTGATTTTCGTGTGCAAGTTCGGTACTAGTCCCTCTAGGATTTTCCAGGTGTATATAATCATGTATCTCTCCCGCCTGCGTTCCAGGGAAAACAGGTTCAGGAACTTCAAGCGCTCCCAGTAATTGAGGTGTTTTATCTCCATTATGCATGCCGTGAAGGTTCTCAGTACTTTTTCTATTTATGTTTTAATTCTGGCCAGTATTTTCTTCATATTTTAGGCAGAGGTTTGTGTATCACACAAAGTAATCTCCAGTCAAATTGGTGAGTGTTATTATTATAAATTCTCCTTCAATGTATATGTAGTCATTTATTAAAATTAACATACAGTCCACATATTTATATTAATGTTGTACCAGAATTCCTGGTGATGTACATTTCATTTAAAATTAATATAGGTCCAGAGTGACTTGTGGAGATATGAGATGGAGTAGGTGTCGAAGGAGGACATTTTTTGCGACCTAGGATGGCCTAAAATTCCTACATGTCTCTGTAACCTTGATAAAGGATAATTATCTTTGTTACTTTCATAAAATTACTAGTATTTATATAATGAGATTCATCCAGGTAATTTTAATTTACCATAATTTTGAGATGGACAGGAGAAACATCATAGAGTGATCTATGTCTTGCGTTATGGTCATGTGTTCTGTTGAGGTTGGTAAGGAGAAGTTTGAGGGGAGGGTTTATATTTGAGTTTATTGTTCTATGTATGTAGTAGGCACAATAATAAGTATGGATATTTTGAACAGTGAGTAAGTTTAGGCTTTTGAATATTGGTTGAATATGCTGCCTGGAGTGGGAATTTGTTATTCTGACTGCAGCCTTTTGTTGAGTAATTAATGGTCTGAGAGGATTTATTGTTGTTGAGCGCCATTGCACAGATTTCATAGGTGAGATAGGGGTAAATGAGTGAGTGATATATGGCCAGGAGGGCTGATTGTGGAACACAGTACCGTATCTTCGATAGTATGCATACGGTCTTGGAGATTTTCTTGGAAATTTGTTGTACATGTCTATTATCAAGGTGGATTCCTAAGAATTTTCCCTCTGTGAGTTTTGTGATAGGTGATCCATTTATCATTATGTTAAGAGGAACATCTGTAGTTCTGTTCCTAAACTGAATGAAGTAGGTTTTGTCAATATTGAGAATAAGCTTGTTAATCATCATCCAGGTAGATATTTTCTGTATTTCGGTATTTACAGTATTGGCTAGTATGACTGGGCTTGGGTTTGAGTAGTTCCGATGCATTTGGTAGGTTGGTTATGTAAATGAGAAAGAGAAGAGGGCCAAGGACACTTCCCTGTGGGACACCAACTGTAATTGGTTGTGTGGAAGAGTTTGCTCCATTTGTGTACACATATTGGCTTCTGTTGCTGAGGTATGATTTTAGGTAGTTGAGGGAGTGCCCTCTTATACCATAGTGCGACAATTTTATGTTCAACAAATCATGATCAACTGTATCAAAAGCTTTACATAAATCAATAAAGATCCTCAATGGGATTTCTTTTTTCTCGAGTGCAGTGTATATTTGTTCTAGCATGTGTATAATAGCATCATTCGTATTTTTATTAGGCCTGAACCCAAACTGACAGGGGTTGAGTATGTTGTGGAAGATGAGGTACGAATAGATTCGCTTATGAATTAATTTTTTAAAGATTTCAGAGAAAAGGGGTAAGATGGATATTGGCCTATAGTTATTCAAGTCTGCTTGATCTCCACCTTTTTGTATCAGGGTGACCCTCACTATTTTGAAAACTGTGGGGAAGGTAGAGGATTCGATGGATACGTTAAAGAGTGTTGCAGTGATTAGTGACAGTATTTGTGAAGCTTTTTTGTATATTAAGGGTGGTAAGTTACTTAAATCTCCTGCCTTGTTCTTTAGTGTGTTGATAATAAGTGAGACTTCTGTTGGGTTGGTCGGAGCTACGAACAGTGTTTTCGGGTAGGTGCCAGTGAGGTAGTCATTAGGTAGGGTATTTGAGCTTGGGATTTTTTATCCATCAGGTCTTTTCCTATGGCTGAGAAGAAAACATTGAGTCTGTTTGCTGTTTCAGTTGGTGGGAGTTGGGGTTCATCTGGTTTTGTTAGTTAGATTGATCTGTTTCCTGATATCTTTTTTTGTTCCTAGAATTTCAGATAGAATTTTCAAGGTCTTCTTTATATCTCCTTTTAAGTTGGATAATCTGTTCTCATAACACAATTTTTTTGCCCTTTATCAGGCTGGTTAGGACTGACTAGTAACTTTTTTTTTTTTTGGGTCTTTGGTTATGTGACCCATTCTGTACTGTTTTTCATATAGGTGCTTTATATTTTTGGATTTGAGGATGCTGGGTGTTAGCCAGGGACTGTTTAGTCTCTTAGCTGTCATCTGTTTAGTTTTTTTTAGGGCAGTGCTTGTTATAAAAGTATTGGGTCTTTTCTAGTAAATTATTAATACATTCATCAAT